TGTCGATGTTTCAAATATTATCTATCTATCGATCTATCGTTCAATCTGTATTTATATTTATATCCATCTCTCTCTCTCTCTTTATATATATATATATATATATATATATATATATATATATATAAATGAACTATTATCAGGCCAAAATGACGAAAAATAGCCCAACTCATACCCTTAAACGAATTTCCGTCAAGGAAAATCACTGAAATTTATACAACAACCAAGATGTGTTACCCTCCCACATTCCATTTTTACTTAAAACTTCCTTGTTGCTTACACACCCCATCATTGACATTCTCAGCATCCTTGTGTAGATCTTCATCTCTGTTGCCACAAGTTGCCTCTTCATCTCTGCGGAAATTGTCTACCATTCGCTGCCTTATAGGAATATTGGCATTAAATCGGTGTTCACCAGCCTTGACTTTGTTTCTAACAATATTTTCGTGTTTCTTAATCGTTTGCTGAGATTTTGAAAGGCATCTTTCTCTATTACAATACAATTTGGATTTCGGTGACACGTTTTCCGTCTTCTGTTAAAACACTTTGTACTTTCTGTCTGAATTCCAGTCCGGTATTCCTTGTAAGTTAGATGAAGGCCGGATGGTCGAAACGTCGTGACAACAATAACAAAGATAAGGACAATAGTCTGAATGTATGTAGTGTGAATAACTTTTGTCCTTGTTTGATTTTGATATCTCCATTTAGTAGTTCGCACTCTGGCCTGTTTCTCATGCATTCGATCTTTTTAGTTTGTCCTTTCTTCTCGCTTTCCTTTACTACCTGGTATAGGAATTCCTGTAGATTTGACTAAATTCTGTTATGAATTGATCAAATATTGTAATCTAAACAAAATAAAGGAAGTCATCAGAAAGAGTTTACTCAGTTTTATGTGAAACTTTAGCAATGATAAGAAGACGGAAGGCGTGGTCATTAGCAAAAGGGTGAGACCAACATGCAAATTACAAATTAGAGATACCAAAATCAAACAAGTATAATAAATTAAATATCTGGGAAGTGTTTTCACAGAGGAGGGAAAGTGTGACACCGAGATCCGAAGGTGTATTGGATTAAAGAAACTTGCTTTCAAAAAGTTAAGCAATGTATTAAGAAATAGGAAAATTTCGTTAGAAACAAAGAACAGAATATTGAAATTCTATATAATATCAGTCTTCCTATATGGCAGTGGATGTTGGACAATCTCTTAAAAGAGGAAGAAGGGACTTAAAGCAAGAGAAATGTGGTTCTGCAGAAGGATGCTGAGAATACCATGGAGTGAACATGTAAGCAACAACAAAGTTTTAAGGAAATAGAAACAAAAAGACCATTTATACTTAAAACCAGGAAGAGACAGTTGAAAGGGTGCACAATGAGGAAAGAAGGCTTGGAAAATCTAATACTCATAGAGGAAAACAAGGCATATATACTTAGTGAGCTTGAGTAAATAGACGGCGGAACAAAGTTTAGGAGAAATAACAAAAAGACAAAATTTATGAAGAGTTACAAAGGACTGGAAATTATGGAGAGGGTGGCATGACGCATAAAAAAGTAAGTTGTGGAGAGCCATGATCGCCAACGTCCTGGTGGGGAGCATGACACATAGAAAAGAAGAAGTTTGACTTTTAAGAAAAAAATTGATTTCTCAAAATGATGTAAAAATCAATAATCCACATTATCAAATAAAACAGGATGAGACAGTTGAAAATTCTAGGGCGCATATTGAGGAAGGAAGATTTAGAAAATTTGGTACTCACAAGGCAAAATAAAGGCAAGAGGGAGAAACAACATTTAACTTACGTAAAGAGCTTGAATAAAAGGGATAGCGGATCAAGGTTTAG